ATTCGTGCATGGGGGGGGGGGGCTGCACCCTCTCCAATCCGGGATCCCTCAGGGGATGTCTGACTGCTGGTTCAGGCCCAGGATCGGGCGCCGCCATCCTGGACGACTGGCTCCTAATTGCTCACCTGCCTGCCTGCCTGGTTGCCCCTAACTGCCTTCCCTGCTGGCCTGGTTGCTCCCAACTGCCCCCTCTGCCGGCCTGGTCGCCCCTCACAGCCCCCTGCCGTCCTGGTCACCCCACGCAGCCTGCTGTTCAGTTGTTTGGTCATCCCTCACTAACCTCACTGCTGACCTGGTCGTAGGCAGCCATCTTGTGAGGGTGTGAGGGTTAATTTGCATATTACCTCTTTATTATATAGGACTAGAGGCCCGGTGCACAAAAATTTGTGCACTGGCGGGGGGGGGTGTCCCTCAGCTCCACTTGTGCCCTCTCACAGTCTGGGACCCCTCAGGAGATAACGACCTGCTGGCATAGGCTCGCTCCCGGGTGGCAGAGGGCAGGCCCAGTCCCTAGATGCCTGCCCCGCAGCCCCTGGTCGGGCTCAGAGCAGGGCCAATTGGGGAGTTGGGGCGCCACCCCCTGTCATGCACAGAGCAGGGCGGATCAGGAGGTTGCAATGCCACCCTCAGTCACGCTCAGGGTAGGGCCGATTGGGGGGTTGGGGCTCTGCCCCCTGTCACACTCAAGGCAGGGTCCATAGGGAGGTTGCGGCGCCACCCCTTGTCACGCACAGAGCAGGGCCCATCAGGGGGGTTGGGGCTCTGTACCCTGTCACACACAGAGCAGGGCAGATCAGAGGGTTGGGGAGCTCCCCCCTGTCACCCACAGAGCAGGGCCGATCAGGGGGTTGGGGCACTCCCTCCCGTCACACACAGAGCAGGGCCCATGGGGGAGTTGGGGCGCCGCACCCTGTCACACACAGAGCAGGGCCGATCAGGGGGTTGAGGAACTCCCCCCTATCAGGCACAGAGCAGGGCCGATCAGGGGGTTGGGGCACCTTCCCCTTTCACGAACAGAGCAGGGCAGATAGGGAGGTTGTGGCCCCGCCCCCTGTCACACACAGAGCTGCAGGGCGATCAGAGGGTTTGGGCGCTGCCCCCTGTCACGCTGCTCCAGGGGCCAGGAGGCCTCGTGGCTCCGCTGATCCCAGTGCTAGGAGGCCTCACTGCTCCGCTGATCCCGGTGCCGGGAGGCCTCGCGGCTCCGCTGATCCCAGGTTCGGGAGGCCTTGTGGCTCTGCTTGACACAGGGGCAGTGAGGCCTCGCTGCTCCGCTGATCCCTGTGCTGGGAGGCCTCGCGGCTCTGCTTGACACAGGGGCAGTGAGGCCTCGCTGCTCCGCTGATCCCAGTGCTAGGAGGCCTCGCAGCTCCGCTGATCCCAGGTTCGGGAGGCCTTGTGGCTCCACTGATCCCAGGCCAGGAGGCCTCGCGGCTCCGCTGATCCAGTGCTGGGAGGCCTCGCTGCTCTGCTGATCCCGGTGTTGGGAGGCCTCCCGGCTCCACTGATCCCGGTGCTGGGAGGCATATTACCCTTTTACTATATAGGATAGAGGCCTGGTGCATGGGTGGGGGCCGGCTGGTTTGCCCTGAAGGGTGTCCTGGATCAGGGTGGGGGTCCCGCTTGAGTGCCTGGCCAGCCTGGGAGAGGGGATGATGGCTGTTTGCAACTGGTCACACCCCCTTCAGGGTGGGGGTCCCCACTGGGGTGCCTGGCCAGTCTGGGTGAGGGGCTGAGGGCCGTTTTCAGGCTGGCAGGTGACTGAAGCTCCTCCCAACCTCTCCTTTTTTTCTTTTTTTTTTTTATTCTGGGATTTATTTACCTTCTATGGCTGTCACTGGAGCTGAGAGCCGGCTTTAGATCAGACCTCGGATGCTGAAAGAAGGTTTCTGGGCTTTGTTTACCTTCTGTATTTGAAACTTTGTTGCGACTCCAGCTCTGAGATCCCAGCTGACTGAAAGCAGGTTTCTGGGGTTTTGTTTAGCTTCTATACTTGCAACATAGTTCTTAGAGTGCAAGCTCAGAGGCCGGCAGCGGCAGGCGGGGAACCTTGACTTCCTCCATCACTGGAGCAAGCAAGCCTCCTGTTCGCTTCAGTGCCTGGCTGCCGGCCGCCATCTTGGTTGGCAGTTAATTTGCATAAGGATATGCTGATTAGCCAATGGGAAGGGTGTCGGGGTTATGGTCAATTTGCATGTTTCTCTTTTATTAGATAGGATTACTTTCAAGTATACAGCACACTAGTTAGACAAATATATATTTTGCAAAGTGATCTCCCCGGTAATTCTAGTATCCATCTGGCCAAATATAGTTAT